AAAAAAAAAAAAAATTAGCTGGATGTGGTGGCCCTTTCCTATAGTCCCAGCTACTGGGGAGGCTGAGGTCGGAGGAGCACCTGAACCCGGAAAATTGAGGCTACGATAAGCCATGGCCATGATCATGCCACTGCCCTCCAGTCTGGGCGACAGAGTGAAACCCTAACCCAATAAGAAATAAAATATATGTTTTTATTTTAAAGTTTATTTTAAAATAAGTCTAACTTTCTCATGAGATAAATATCAATAGATATCAATCACAGACATAAAAGATTTCTTTGGCTTATCAATAATTTCTAAGAGTTATAAAGGAGTCTTGGGACAAAAAAAAATTGAGATCTAGTGCTTTGGGTAATCTAATTTTTCTAGCTTAAATATCATTTGAATTTTTATTATGAAATATTACTCAAAAAACAAATAGTAAAGCAATTCATTACTAAAGAAAAGTACAAACAGTGCTTAAATTGTGAAGTAAAGACCTGGCTTTTACTTGGAAGCGTTCAGGTATTTTGGCATCATTTACACAAAGCGTAGATCCCCACGAATCCAGAGATGGACAGACTTTAAGAGCCAGCTGGTAAACATTTTCAGCTTTGTGGACCAGAGGTTCTCAACAGCTCAGCCTTGATGTTGTGGACAGCATGCCCAGAAAGGAGTGTGTCTGTGTGGCAGTGGAACTAGATTTGCTAAAACAAGAGACGGGCCATGTTTGGCTTGTAGACTAAAACTCGCCAACTGCTGCAAAAGTCCCCTGAAGAACGTGGTAGGAATGTTTCATGACATCACCAGGTACCCCTTATGCATTCATGTGTTCCAGCAGTGTGCTAGTTTTCGTGCGCAAAACTGGGATTTGCATCTCCTGCGTTCAGTCAAAGCACTTTATGAAACATTGCTTTGAGGGTGTCATGCGTGGTGAGTTTCCACTGCCAAGAGAGCATCAAGGAGACACCCAAGGAGGGGACAGCAGGACAGAGAAAGATGAGCTGCTTCTGGGGCCTGTGTGAGGTGTGGTCACCACACACGCAGCAGCTGTGTGTTCACGTGACTCTTGAGCGTGTCGGAAATACACCACCTCACTTCCTTCTTGCTCACAGGTGAACATGTGCCATTGCCCTAAATCAATTTGGAATAGACATGGGATGTCTGCACCCATGGCAACCCTTAGAGCATTCCCTCGTTGCCCGTTGGCTCTGGTTTCAGGCTGGCTTCTGGGAATTTCGAGACACATGTATGCTTACAGACAAGTCTGTCCAGTCCAATGAAGTGAGAAGTAGACTTAGGTTGCAGCTGAAGCTCAGTGGTGTCTCGTGGTCATGGTGTCCCATTGCAGAATCTGAGAGCCCTGGCAGCTAGCGACCTTGGTGGTCTCCCCCTCCTCTGTGGCTGTGACAGGCAGGCAGGCCATTGCTATGAGCACAGAGTGCCCTAGGCTGCTCTCACATGGGTTTTGGCCTCGCAGCGGAATGTAAGGTTGCACCAAGGTCAGGGTTGGCTTTTTCTTCGAGCACACCCCAGCACCAAAGTGACAAGCCTGCGGCTTCCGATGGGTGAGAGCGGCACCTGATCTTGAGGACAGCAGCATTCCCCGCAGTTCTTACGCACCCTGACTGGTCTCTGGGCTCTTCGAGCCAAAAGAAGCCGCAACCCAGCAGGCTCTGCCTTCTACTGTCCTTACCTGCTCCCAGAGAATCAGAAGCTTCGAGAGAATGGCTGCATAAAGCTTGTCATTCATAAAGAATGTTGAAAAGATAGCAAACACCTCAATAAAACTTGGATGGTAGGTGGTACAAGATCACCTGGGATGGGATGGATTTATATCTGTTGAATTTTTCTTTTTCCTAGCAAAGATCTCATTCTAAATCAACCGAATTATCTGAAAAATGTGTATGTGGATGACTTTGCTGGTGGTTTCTAATTAGCTTCAGGTATTGAAAGATTTGCTTTAACGTTTTTTCTAGATTATCTGGTCCTACAGAGAAAAAAGTAAGCTTGTCACTTATGTGCCCTTAGATTCTCATGACGCAGTTTTGAGGTTTAACTCTGCTCCTACACGTGGTTATGAGAAAGATGTTGGGAATAAAACCACCGTGCGCATCATTAACTCCCAGGTAAGACGGTGGAGTGTTTGCACAGGCTTACATTTTTAATTTTAACTGGATGAGTCAAATAATTTGGTTATCCAAGACTGTGAAACTTGCTTATTTCTATGAGTTTTGTTACTATAAAATTTACTGTAAAATTTACTGAGGAAAAATGCAGATAAGTGGGATTTTAGATGTGATATGATTCGGGAGAAGTAGCTAAGTAATATTTAAAAATCAGTATAGGGATAGAAATACATATACTTATAATCATGAACATAGCCTGTTGCATTTTGTGAGCTGAGAACAGTTAAACTTAGAAGAAATGGTGGCAATAAGTAGCGCAGGGGAGAAAGGGGAGAGAATCTGAGGGTTCACAGGACATCTTGGAAACTTTAGTCTTTTTTTTTTTTTTTTTTGGAAAGATTAAAAATGGAAAGGCATTGTTTAATTGAAAATGAAAACACCTCTTCAAGTCTTAATAAGAACGTCTTCCAAAGTTACAGCAAATTTATTCTCAGGAAAAATCCACAACACTTTTTAGAGTTTCTAAAACATCTAGAAAAAACGAGTTGATGAAAGACTTACGGCGAGTTGCTTGCAGAACAGAAGATGAGCTTTCTGTGGATTCCCTGTATGAGGCAGCCCACAGCAGGTGGGACGCGATTAGCCTGTTTCCTTAATGCATAGATATTGACTGTGAGGTGCACTCCTCACTGAATAGCAACTTCTCGGAGAGGTAGAGACAAACCCCACCAAGTAAAAATATGTCACCTATAAGGTATGCATCCTCACTCTAGAAACTTAAAACTGGGGGGGGGCGGGAAGTACACTGCAATAGCAGTGAAAACTTGGCTTTAAAACTGAGGAAAAACAGTATGGTATTTTTTTTTCCCAAAATGCTAAAAGACGACTGGTAGGTAAGGTTGGAGAATTCATCCCGAGCCAGGGAGGCCTGGAGAGGGAGGATCATGCCTGACTCCTGGAGGCCCTCACTTCATCCACACCTGCAGCTCTCTCTCCAAATTAAGTACGAAGGCAGTGGCAGAAGAGGGCCTGAGTTAGCTAGGGAGTTACACTCTTTAGGAGCTGAATTCAATACTGCTAGACAAGAGCACGATACTGATTAACATATCATAACTTCTTGTTTCCTAGAGAAGCTTATTTCCCCAAACAGTCTTGAAGTGCTTCTACATGCAAAGCCAGTCTCCCTCCCCCAGAGGAAAATACATCCAAGACATTTCTTTTCTTCCTCTGGTTTGTGTTTAATTTTCTTGTCTTTTTTTTGAGTTGGAGTCTCACTCGGTCGCCCAGACTGGAGTGCCGTGGCCGCTCCCGGCCACCGCAGCCTCGACCTGCCGGGCTCCGGCGATCCTTCTGCCTCAGCCTTCCGAGTAGCCGGAATTACAGGCGCGTGCTACCACGCCCGGCTGATTTTTTGATTTTATTGTAGAGATGAGGTCTCTCTGTCCAGGCGGGTCTCGAACCCGCGGGCTCAGACAATCCACTCACCTCAGCCTCCCAAAGGGGGATGACAGGCTGAGCCACCGATCCCGGCTTGTGTTTAATTTTCATGGACTTTGCAGCAACTTGGATGGTACTCAGTGATCTATCACAAAACTATAGTACTCAGTGATCTATCACAAAAACAAAGATCAGAGTACTATATGTCCTCATAAGCAGGCCATGAGCATTTTCATAATACTATAAGAAAGAGATTGGCAGTAGTGGGACACAGCCAGGGAAGAGGCGGGCATATAACATCAGGAAGGGTAACTAATCTCAAGCCAGGCAAAGTGGGGTCCGAGGAGTGGCCCAAACGTTGCCTGTACAGTGGCCACTTATTAACCCTGAATTGTACCCCACATGTTTAAATTAAAAAAAAGAAATGCTGTGTTTGTATCAAGTAAGATTATTATCAAAATTAAGCATTAGAGGAAAAAAATGCTGTTTTTGTAACACTGGTTTTGAAATGGTTGTTCTCTGTGTTTACAGATTCTGACCAACCCCAGTCATCACTTCATTGACAGTTCATTGTATAAAGACGTCATTTTGGTGGCCTGGGACCCTGCTCCTTATTCTGCAAATCTTAACCTGGTACGTGTTTCCTTTGGTGCAGCTACTCCAGTGCATTTGACTGATTAATTAATTCAAGACAACAACTAAACTCTGACAGAATGAAATTGACCATCAGTACCAATTAAGTGCATGTGTGTGTGTACACCATTTTTGTACCCAGTTACAAGGCACACTTGTGAGCATTAGCCATCTAATGCCGAACAGCTTGTTTTTCTGGAGGATTGTGGGGGAGGGTGTAGAGTATCAAAGTGTTCGGAGATTCCTAGTTAATTCTGGAGGGTGGGCTGATTAACCTCAAAACTGTTCCATCATGAGAGGGTTATATCACCTTCTGCACGGTTGCAAGACCTATTGAAATAAATTGGCAATAGTTGGCAAGATAATCTAAACTTTGCAAATTCCACAGCTTATTTTTATTTAAGTGGAGCCTGCTCCAGGCTTTTATTGAGTGTGTTCCTCTTTGGTTTCTGCTTTTGAATCTGTTTAATTTTATGCAGCAGAGCTGAAATGATTTTATTACTGGCCATCTCAATACAAACAGGCTATATTTGGAACATTCTGGTATATCATCACCTAACTAAACAAGCAGCTAGTGACTTTTGGTGAAACCTTGCCTGAAAAGCCAGTGTCCTTATTTTTGTAATGAGGGCTGGGAAAAATGGATAACATTTAGCCTAGTAAGTGATGCTATCTGCCATGCAGATAAGTGTCTTTGGCTTGTTTTGCCCTGACCAGAGAGGGTGCGGTCTTCTTAAGATGAATATAAGAAACAAATGTGGCTTCACCAAGGGGAAACTTACCAAGATATAACATGGGCCCCTCCAGAAGGAGATTTGGCCACTGTTTACCTTGAGACCGAGGCTGGACATTTATCCAGCATGATTGCCAACTGGCTCCAGAATCACCTGGAGGGTACTTTTCAATATCTATCTGTCAGAGCCCCATTTCCAGAAATGTAGACTATATATAACCTCAATGTGTATTTTTTGAGAAAGCTCTCCAATTGATTCTCACTTGTACCCTCCACTGAGAATCAAGCATCAAATAGGTGTTTGAACTTTTCAACTTCCTTCCCAGCTTGAGGTTCCTGGGTTTTAATCTCCGACAGCTTTCTTGCTGGCGTGAATAGACTGAGAGCTTCCAGCTATTAGACCTTGTTTCTTCCTTTGTTGGAAGCATCCAAGCCCAGGCACAGAGCTGGCCCTTGGACGGTGCTAAAATCCAAGCGACAAAGCCACTTTCTGCTAGGTCTTTGCGGAGGGAGAGTAAAGGAATGGTCCCCCCTCTGGTCCGATGTTTCTCTTGCTTCCCTTGCCAGAGGTACCTGGCATGGGGGCTTAGTTTATCAGAGACAGTCAGGTCCACTCATTCTTCGTATTTTAAAGCCACAGAACCTTTTCATAGGTGGAATATTACTTGTGAACTTACGATATGCCCACTGTATACCCACGGTGTCTGTTTGAAAAAACCCTCTGAGCTGAGCCTCTCGCCACACACCCTTTCCAAATCCCATGTTGTGGTAGCACCTGAAATACTTCTGGAGACTTTTTAAAAATCAACCTTATCGATCTTTCTCTATACAATAATTTACAGACAGTAAATACAAGTGTACATTGAGATGAATGTTAACAAATTTATACATTCCTGTACCCACCATCACAGTAAAAATCTGGGGTGTTTCCATCACTCCAGAGAATTTCCTTGTCAATCCATCCAGTCAATCTTCCCAGCCTTAACTCCAGACTCAGACAGCAATGATTACTCTTCTGCTCCTGTAGATAAAATTTGGGAAATATATTTTTTAAATATAAGAATCCAATCCAATCCGGGGTCAGCAAACTATGTCCATGGGCCAAATCCAGCTATCACCTGTCTATGTAAATAAAATTGTATTAGAACACAGCACGCCCATTCGATATGTATTGTCTATGGTACTTCCATGCTACTGTGCCACTATTGAGTATTGTCAACAGCATCTCTATGGCCTGCAAAGCCCAAGGGGTTTACTGTCTGACCCTTTTCAGAAAAAAACCTGCTGACCCCTAGTCTAATCTACTTCCCTTCCTGCTGGAGCCAGCACCCTGGTCTCTCTTTGTTCTTGTGCCCTCATCTTACTTACAGCAGGCATAGTCATGGTCTTCCCCTGCCCTCCAGTCCCAGCTTAGCCCCTCTGCCTCAAATCCACGTGTGTAGGTGCTGCCTTGTGCCCTTTTGCTATCCAGTCCCCTCTACTTGATTGTGTTGACTTTTTTTCCCTTAGTGGTACAAGAAGCCAGATTACAACCTGTTCACTCCATATATTCAGCATCGTCAGAGAAACCCAACTCAGCCATTTTACATTCTTCATCCAAAATTTATATGGCAACTCTGGGACATTATCCAGGAGAACACGAAGGAGAAGATTCAGCCAAACCCACCGTCTTCTGGTTTCATTGGTAGGTGTATGTTCAAATCTGGAATGATTGGGCAGACAGGCATGGTGAGAATCCATTATCTGAAATGCTGGGGACCACCAGAAGTGTCTTGATTTGGGGTTTTTTGGGACTTTGGAATATTTGCAAACATGTGACTAGTCCAACGCCTCTAATCTGAAAATTAGACCTGCTTCAGCGAGCATTTCCTTTGAGTGTCATTTGGAGGCTCAGAAAGTTTGGGATTTTGAAGCATTTTGGAGTTCTGATATTTGGGTTTGGGATGTTCACCTGGTATTTAAGAGCAATTAACAGGTTCCTTGGAGGGAAGTCGATTGAGGAAAAAAGAATCACTCACATAACAAGCGACTCCAAACTTTAAGGTGTAAAGCAGGAACTGTTTTATGTTTCTCATGATTTGGTGGGTCAGGACCGGCCTGGCCAGAGGACTTTTACTGTTTCATTTGGCATCGATGGAGGTCATCTGTTTAACTGCTCCATGGGATGGCCCCGCTGGCACATCCAACCCTTGTGGGGATGGCTAGCAGCCTGGCTCAGCTGGGACTGTGGACTGTGTGCCTACAAGTCACTGGACTTCTTACATGGCAGAGCAGCCATCCTTGGGAGAATATTCCAAAAACCAGGAAGTAGAAGCAGCCCGTTTCTTACGGCTGGCACCTGGAGACTTGCACAGGGTCACGTGTGCTGTTTTGTTGGTGAGAACTATCACGGGGCTCCCCAGGTTTCAAGGGAGAAAACATAGACCCATACCTCTTGAGGGAGGAAAGGAAGACATGTCCAGGAATTGCAGCTTCTTTAACCCGCCACCCATTCCCATTCACATTGCCTATGCAATGCTAGGTTGGAGCCGAACCTGTGACATTGTATAGTGCATTGAGCTGCAAGATTAGAAGTAGGTAGGAGATTTGATGAGACTAGTTCCAGTGTCTGGTTCAACTCTCTCAACCGGAGAGTCTGCTCGCTCTCATCCAGAGATGGACTTTTTAGAACAAGATAATCCCGCTTGACTTATATGTTTCTCCGTCAGGCTTTGATCCACAAAGTTTGTGATTTTACCACATTTATTTATCTTTGTTTCAGCTTATCACCCCATTATTTATTTGATTTTACCTGAGCCGGGGAATATTGAGGAATATCCTAGATGCCCTTGGCCATACGAAAGGCTACAATCGAACCAAATATTGGTTTTGTCTGTAAAAAACTGCCATGTTCTCTACCTCGGTTTCAGTGAATTTGCAACCCTGCATCTTCCTTAAGCTGCATAGTGAGTCCCCATAAATAAAGGAGAAATTTGTGGAGTTAACACTGCTTTGGTTTTGGGTATGGGACACACAAGCGTCCTGAATTGAGGCTTGAAGATCTGAGAGTGGGTTTTTGCCCTTGTAATAATGTGAAATATTTCACATAGAATTCAAGAAAAAGATTACACTACGGCTACATATTATTTTCCTTAAGCACAGCTTGTTTTCTCCTTTTAAAGTCATTCCTTTGACGCTTTTTGTTTCCAAATCACTCTTCTGAGATCCTAAATTCTTTGTGTTTTTCTGTCGTTTCACTGGATCCTGTTGATTTAGGCAAGAAAGTATAATCTAGTTTGTCAGCAAAGGGTACACAGGACAGAGTAATGCCAGATGGCATGATAGGATGTAGTAGAAGTTTAATAGGGTATTTTTCATATCATCACCTTCTCATGAATTCATATGGCTGATACTTGATTACAGCAAGCATTTTAGAGCACAGTGAGGAGAGCCTGACAGACACACTTATTATCAACATGTAGTTTTAAAAATTCAAGTTAGATAGTCATAGCTGGAAAAGGTACTGTCCCATGTGTTTTCATTGAGAGAAATTATACCACACATGGCTAGCTTCCTTCCAAAGCCATTTCTGAAGATTTGGAGTTTTCAGAGCCTGATATTGTTTTAAGTGCTTTTTTTTACATAAAAAGGTGGGAGGGTTGGCGGGTGGGATGCAGTTTGATGTCATTGCAGGAGTATAAGTTGGACTTGTCTAAGTTTGAGTTTGAGGCCGGGCTCAGTGGCTCTGCCTGTAATCCCAGTGCTTTTGGAGGTCGAGGTGAGTGAATTGCCTGAGCCTGTGGGTTCGAGACCCGCCCGGGCAACTTGGCGAGACCTCATCTCTACAATAAATCAAAAATTAGCCTGGCGTGGTAGCGCGTACCTATAGTTCCAGCTACTTGGAAGGCTGAGGCAGAAGGATCACCGGAGCCCAGCAGGTCGAGGCTGCAGTGGCTGGGCGCGGCCACTGCACTTCAGTCTGGGTGACAGAGTAAGACTCCAACTCAAAAAAATAACAAAAAAAAAACCAAAATAAAATAAGTTTGAGTTTGAATTCTCCTCTGCTGCTTGCTAGCTTTATGACCTTGGGCAAGTTACGTAACTCCTGACACATGATACCCTCATATGAGAAATAAAAAAAAAAATGAGACAATCTCGCCAAGAATAAGGTAATTTGCACTGGCCAATTTGCAATCGTTACTACTTTCTAGCACTGTCTTACCCGATAGGACTACTAGAATTTCAATTAATTGGAATTAAATGACAGGGAAACTTCCATTTCTCATGCCCACCAGCTCCATTTCAGCCACATGTTCCTGATGGCAGCCATCGGACAGGGCAGAGAGGGAGCACTTCCATCGTCCCAGAAATTATGTAGGTTTCGCTGTTGACAAGAGAATGAAAGACAACAAGTTGACAAGGAGTCTTTAAGTTCCCACTGGGCAGGCCACGCTCTGCGGGTGGGGAGAGAAGAGGCAACAGAAAGACGTGGTCCAGCGTGGTTAAACTCACCTGCAGCTCTTGTAGCCTCCCACCGTTAAGCATGTGCGAGCCTTCACCAAGAACTGGCAGTGGATCCAGCCTGGGTGAGCTCTACTGGGCACAACCCCAGCACCCTCTGACCACTGCCGCTGCTACTGTTGTCCTTTTCCTTCCTCTTTGATCTTATCAGAAATAGGCTGACAGTCAGAGACTCTTTCATAATTTATCAGACATCCTTAAATAGCAGTAAAATGAAGTCACCCACCTCGCAATCCATCTGCCATGAGAATTTTAAAATCCAGTGAGTGTTTTTGTTGTTGCTGTTGTTATCAAAAACCGTGCTCCCAATGTCCCCTCCTTTTCTGAGGTCGTGTTGAAAGGGATTGACTTGTCCCCCATCATTTCCAAACTCTCCAACCTCTACGGCCAGTCCCTGGAAAAAGAACCCATCGACGAGCTGTTACGAGGGGTTAGGACATTTCGGCTTGTACCAATCGCATCTTGTGCCCCGGGCATGGAGTCAGCAGGGCAGTCATCATTAGAAGAGTGCCTTGACAGTGTCCCCAAACCTCTATTTTCCTAATCCGTGGGGTGAAGCAGTGTGAATTACCGTCTCCACTGGTGTGCTCCCCAGATATATGCACAGCTACACACACGGCTGGCTTTATATGGCCTTTTTCCCTCAGTCATTTTGGCTGAAACTTTCACTGATGTGTTCATCCATATGTGAAACGTAGTCTCTCATGTAATGACTTATATTTCTAAACCCACTGCATACGTTTTCCTTTAGGAATCTATGAGATACGGGGACTCTGAACTGTTTTGAACACAAAAGACATTCCTTTGCATGGAAATGTATTCACTGGCAGTTAGATTCTCAGGGAGACACTCCTTAACCCCTTAAATGCAGGGCTGTGGGTGCTATCGGAGGCCTTGTTGCTGGACGGAATTCATCATGTAGAAGGAAGGTGGTGAACAAGGAAGGGAAGAGTCATCTATCAAGGAGATAGAGCACCTCCAGTGCAGGCAAAGGGCTGGGCCCCAGGAGCATGGGTTGAAGAAGCCAAGCCAAAGTCCTGCCCGCTGCAGTTTTCAGTGTGAGGGCTGTTGGGAGAGACAGATGCAGATAAAATACGATTTCAAGCTTGATAAGCACAATGATGGAAAAGAACAAAGCATCAAGGGCTGAGCAGTGTCTGTGGTGCCCACTATTGTGTCCTTGTGTTATGGTCCGAGTAATGCTCAGCTGCTCCCCTTGATACTAAGAAATCATAGGGGCAGGGAACTGGTAGAAAGAAGTGTATTTCTGAGTTCGAACCCAGGGAGCAGAGCCAGACTCGAGGTCCTTCCAGAATGTTTCTGCTCACTCTCCAGGCCTTTACAGTTCACTTGTATAAGTCCAGAATCTCGTTAGTACCTGTGCATTAGTCACGTGACCAGCAGAGCACGGTATAGAACTTTGAGTTTTAGCCACATTCATCGATAGTGACATTTTTCGGTCCAGATTTCCTGGTGCCAGGTATCAGTGGTATCTCATAGCTTTCATCAGTAGGACCTGGCAGAGGCGTTAATCAAGCTTGCCATCCAGTAAAGGGACTATACAAAGCCTAAGACATCCTGCGTTACGCAAAAGTTATACAAATCACAGAACTTATGATTGCAAAAGTCATACAAATCACAAAATTTATGATTACATTGATACAAAAGACATACAAATCACAGAACTTATGACTACTCAGAAAAAGAGAATAAATGGGGATTTGATCTTTCAGTTGATTGGGCGGTTGTCTACAGGAAAGTCAAGGATCCCCTGAAGCTACTTACTGGTAATGCATAGAGGATAAGGGGAAGTTCACCTTTTATTTATTCACCTTTCTCAGGAATATTGCTCAGAAATGTATAGGAGTGCTTGCACCTTTGCTGTGCCCTTCTCTAGGGCTGTGACAATATGGACAGACATTAGCAGGTCTCTGTATCACTTGCTTTCAGTCTGACGCATAGCAGGTGCCAAAAACAATAATGATTTTTTTTAGCCGGGCTCTGTGGCTCAGCCTGTAATCCCAGTGCTTTGGGAGGCTGAGGTGAGTGGATTGCCTGAACCCGTGGGTTCGAGACCTGCCCAGGCAACTGGACAAGACCTCATCTCTGCAATAAATCAAAAAATTAGCCGGACATGGTATCGCACCCCTGTAGTTCTGGCTGCTTGGAAGGCTGAGGCGGAAG